GGTTTAAAGCCCTCGAGGAAAATCTATGTGTGGATGCCGTTTCCAGATGCAGCCAAGGTAACAATGGAAAGTGGAGCCACAGAAAATGAAGGCAAAATTAATGGAGAAATAAGATGTTTCCAGGACAAGGAGAAACTGTGGGAGTTCATCACCACCAATCCAACCCTACAAAAAATACTGAAGGACATTCCAGAGAGAGAGAGAGAGAGAGAGAGAGAGAGAGAGAGAGAGAGAGAGAGAGAGAGAGAGAGAGAGAGAGAGAGAGAGAATACCAGGATTCCAGCAACAGTGGCAGAGAGGCCTCAATGAACAAGGAGGACAGTGGAATGAAGGAGACAAATGGGAAAATAATAGCAGAAAAATAGAATAGCAGAGATGAGGCAGAGTAGGTGGGCTATAATCTCTAATATAGATAGACTTGATATATCAACAAAAAGAAACACGGGCAGAGTAGATTAGGAGGCAGGATCCATTGAGATGCTCTGAATAGGAAATATACTCAACCTGAAAGAGGGTTAATAAGCTGAAAGTCAAAAATGAGAAAACGATGCTGTATGTAACAGGGAACCAGGGAGAAATAGGGACAAGTCGTCCAGCAGCCGCAGATAGGTTGGAAAGTCATGACACTTTTGTGCAGTGAAGAACTACTCAGCTATAAGGAAGAAAAAACTTGTGGCTTTAGCAAGTAAAGGAGTAGAGTTCAAGATCAAGCTCAGGGGTAAAAAAGTTCAGCACCACTCAGATAACGAGCTGACCCCTTAATCTAAAGATTAAAGGAGCTAGTGGGACCCAAAATATACAAAGCACCATGAGAAAGGAAAAGTTGAGGAATTGCCTAATAAAGAAGGCATAGGATATTGTTAACAGTGTATCGGGATTTAAAAGCCACAGTAGTTTTATCGCTATGTTTAGTTTTATTTTGTTCCAGTATGTTTACTCATACTAGATTTGAGGGCACAGATAGCTATCCCAAAAACAGCAGGCTATACCATGGTAACTGTCTTTAATTTCCTACTAACTTTAACTGAACCCCTGTATTACTTACATTGTCTTACTATGACTGATCTTATTTGAAGCTGGTTTGTTAGGCTACTGTTTTGCCTTGACTGATTTTATTTGAACTTGGTATGCTTGATAGTATCAAGTCTAAGAGTAGAGGCAACTACTCTGAAGATGAGAAGATATAATAAGATACCCATTCCAATTTGATTACTAACTGCTTTTGAAGTTCTACAATGTCTCCAAAGTTGTGTTTTTATTAAAATAGCTATGTAATGCTATGTTCAATTATATTATGTCTGATGATGCGGACAATTCTATTGAAAATAACAAGAGAAAGCATAGTAACTACTGTAGATCACCTAGTATTGTGGTTTTACATGTCTTTTTCATTTCATGTTTTTCGAGGAATTTGTTTTATTGTCTTGTTTTGATCTGTTTTTCCCTGTAATACAGAAAGGATAGATATACATGTAGAGACTCATACATGGGGAGAATTTCTAAACAGTTTATGGGAACAGATTATATAATGCACAGTGTAATGAACAGATGCTCTGAAGAAGAGACACTAAGATACCCAGTGCTAATTCTGTAGCATTTATGATATAAAATCTAGCAATACTATTATTCACTGTTCAGAGTGATATTAGTCTTGTCTCATGTTCAATTTAAGCATATGTAAAAATAAGGACAGCTACTTCGAAGAGAATGAGGGACATTATGGCAGTCATCATTGACTTCCCCAATGTCAGGTCTTGAAGACCTAAAATGCCTTCATCATCCAGTTATGATTAGATTAGTTCTATAATGTTCAGTACGTATTCAATGTGTGTGAAGATGGGGACAAGTATTTGGAAGAAATCTAGAGACAAGAACATAGACAGTGAAGATCTCCATGCACTTGCTTTGAAATCTGTGTTTCTTAAAATTGTTTCCTTATGATCTGTTTTGTTATGTTTAATCTTATCCTCTTTAAAAGAAAAAAGAAAAGAAAAGAAAATGAAGGCAAAGGAAATGTCCCAAATCTGGTATAGTTTATACCCTCTTCACTTAAAAGGTAAGCGGACCTTGAATGACTTTTTCTAGGGAAACTTCAGAATTCCTAGTCTTTTGCTTTTCCAATCTTGCTTATTGCATGTTTGGATGAGGTAAGAGATTTCAGAAAACTCTTAGTTTCTTTAAAGGATTGAAACCATTATCTTCACACCCCTTGAAGTCATCAAACTTACAGTTGTGTGCACAGATTACATTAACCTTTCAAAGCGACCCTTTCTCTGGGTAGGGTTTCTCGCTAATGATTTGAGTGTCAACAACTTCTTTGATAGGCTTCTCTTCAAAAGGTGGAGCTTAATTCTCTTCCTTTTGAGACCTGGCTAGACTTTGTGATTTACCTCTGGCAAATAGTTTTCGGGGAGTGATGGATGCTGTTCCTAAACTTGGTCACAGCAGGGATTATGTCTCCTCATTTCCCTCTTCCTCTGGAGGATCCCAGCCACGTCATGAGGGCATTCGCACAGCCCTGGAGAAGTCCACCTGGAAGGGCTGGGAGTCTTCTGTGTGCACCTCACAGGGTGAGGGTGTCCGGGGATCATCCCGAAGGCAGCCCTGGAAAAGCATCCTGAAACTGTCCCCACTACAGACCCAGAATCAGACTTCCCCAAACTCCTCCCGGACTTCTGGATCCGGGGCACTGAGATGACAACTGTCTATTACTTTACGCTGTTAGATTTGAGAATAACTTGTTACCAGAAAGTTAACACAGATTTCAAGTACTCTGTTTAGGAAGAAGGGAGCAAAAATATTTACCTACATGACAAAGATTTTATCAATCACTGACACACCACTCACTCTGCACGGAACTGGAACTGAAATTTATTATGTATGTGCACCGGTTCTCTGCAGTGAATGTGATCATCATGAACTGCAAAAGTGTATTAATTCAGTCAGCATTCCTCAGAAGGAACTAACTGATTCCAAAGGAAAGCATAAAGGCATGAGTATGAGCTTCTCAACTAACCTTTCTTCTGCTATGGTCATCCCAGAGGCCACACGTTCCAGGAGAAGGAACTGGGCAAGATCACTGCGTGATTCCTCAGCCAAGCTCTGGACCTGGCTTGGACTCGGAATGAGGAATATCTGCTAGCTCTCCTTGGTCAATGTGCGGATTAAGCCCAAGAAAGCTCTTCCTTCTTGTCACAAGAGCCCATGGGCTCTACCCCGCAGCATAGCTGCCTCATTCAGGAGAGAGTGGAGGCTTTGCCAAACCACTCTGGGAACAGGAAATCAGTCCCAAGCGGGCAGCATCGCCACTGCCACACACCTGGTGTCCTGTCACCGAGTTGTGAGTTGTCCTTCTCTCTGGGAGTCAGCTTGAAGGTCAGTCCCCAAAGCAAAGGACACTACTTGAGTTACATTAAAGGAGGAAGAGCCCCCTTGGTGGGACACCTCTCCTCACTGGCCTGGGCTCATTCATGACTCAAGGTCTCCTGGAAATAGCCAGAAATATGGGATTTATGGTCAGATTGACCCAACCAAAAAGCAAAGGTTTACAGGCACATTTACTCTCAGACTGTTTTCTACTATTCACCCCAAGCTTTGGCTCCATTTTGGCCTGGCAGCAAATCACAGCAGCGGAGGAAAGCCTGGCCTGTGGGGCCCACACACTGAAGTGTAGCTCAGTGCCCCTCCTGCAGGAAGCCCAGCTGAAGGTGGGGCCTACAGGGATCACCCCCAGGATGAGAATTTTTCCTATGCCACAGCGATGCTGCTGTCCTTATGAATCACTTGAAAGAAAAAAAAAAAAAAAAAACTCTGTTTTTGAGCTCTTGAAGAGTAGGAGTTGCTTCCCAGCGTTCACATTATTTGCACTTTTTAGGAGGGTGGTGATTGGGTGTTGAGACTCTTATACTAAACACCCATGGGACACCTCCTAGGAGCTCTGGGGAGGTGGACAGCGGTTCTGCATGTGAGGGACGGGTGTGGGGAAGAAGCCCGGGCAGGTGGCCAGGTCTGCAGTGACAGCCAGGCTGTCTCCTAGGGAGAAAATGTGAAGCACACAGCTCGTCTCCTCTCCTTCCTAGCCTGCATCACTCACGGCTCCTCACTCACAAGGTGTTTCACTTCCATTTATGAGCAACCATGTGGCACTTGACTTTCTGCACATGGCCTATTCTACTTAAATGAACGTTCACCGTCTCCAGCCATTTTCGTGGTTTTGCATATGAACCAAATTATTCTGTGCCCAGTAAACCCACATTAAAATAGCACAGCTCACCCTAAAATGGGCATCTGTACTGGATGGTAATTAAAAGTTTAAAAACTTAAAAGTAAATCAAGATGTTGCACGTATATTTTCCTTGTGTAGTTCAGACCTACCTGGAATTTTATGCGTACAGTTATTCTGGGATACTGATATTTCTAGATGTATTCTTCAAACTGATGTATAATTTTAACCAATGTTAGTCATCAAGTTGTCACCATTGATCCAAAATCTCTTTTCATGAGAAGAAAAGAACAACGAAGGGAGGGAGGAGGAAAAAAAACAATAGAAGAAAGGAGGAAGAAAGAAGAGGGAAGGACAGAAGGAGGAAGAAAAAAATAAAAAACGAATCCACAATTCCACCTATTTAATTCCTTTAATGTAGTTTGTTGATGGTAATAAAAGAAATATACAAAAACTCATCTATCAAACACAAAACTTCTTAACAAAATAGAGAATGACGGTGGCTACTGTTCAGCGTGTCACAGTGCCCCCCTTTCGTGGGGGATGCTTGTGGGGACCCCGGGCCCCTTCTGCACCCCGGTTTCCACCATGCAGGAGGAATGGTGGCAGGCAGAGGGACGCGGGTACTCGGCTCCACTGTCTGGGCTGACTGCTGACCGCTACCACTGACCACTGACCACTGGCCACGGCCTCTGCACTGGCTGCCGCTCTGAAGCGAGGCATCAGTGCACCTGTGAGCGGCTCCCCAGGACTGGAGCCCACGTTCCCCCTCGAACCCATGTCCACTAGTTCTGGAAAGAAGGAGCCGAGGAGCAGGAGCCAGGCGCTCTCTGACCGCTCCTCACAGGTGCTGGTAAACCGCGGGGCTTCACCCTACCCAGGGCCTCAGCAGAGTCAGCGCACCCCCGGGGAGCAAGAGCAGCCCCTGACGCCTGCGGTGCGCAGAGCATAGAAGGAGAGGCTGCGTCCTGCACCCGGAGCAAAGGCCAGACAGCTGGACCAACTTCCCCGGGTCCCTAGTCCGCGAGGGCCCTCGCGCTGGGGAAGCGGAAATGAAAACGAAGCACGTGCTATAGGAAACATCTTGAACAGGGAAACAGATGACAGGAAAGCTTGGGGCTTCTGCACTTGCAGGGGCTCAGGGTCTGCGGGAGAGGCCGCTTTGCGGGGCTGGGGGTTGGTCTTTACAGCGCCTGTGCCAACACTCTGGGGAGTCCTGGTGGCTGAGGGGGGCTCCGGTCCCAGGAAAGGATCCCGTGTGGGTGTGTGTTTATGTGTGTGCGCACACATGTGTGTGTGTACGCGTGTGTGTGTGTGTGTGTGTGTGTGTGTGTGTGTATGCGTGTGTGTGTGTGTGCGCACGTGTGGAGGCATGGGGTCAGGCCACCTTCCCTGCAATCCAGGTGATCCCAGGCTCGGGATGGAGCCTGGAGCCTCTGGGTGTAGCTCCGCGACCCTGTGTACCTCTCATCTTGGGGTCCTCAGTCCCGAAGGAGATGACGTCCTGTAAATGCAGGGCATGGACCCTGCTCAGCCAGGTCCTGGATGGACAAGGGGTCCAATGACCAGCGCGTCCCTGCATGGGCCGAGGAGAGCTCTGACCCAGGTTTACAATAAGAAGGACAGGAACTGAGGTCCAGCTTTGCTCTGCTTTCCTTACTCTTGGGCACCTGTGGCCCCAGTGAGGTCACAGCCTTTCAGCCCACCCCTTCAGTGACTTCTCCAGAGGCAGGAGTCCAGTGCCGAGCTAAGAGGCGTTAGACATTTCTATCTAGCATTTCTGTCGTGTTTAGGAAATGCAAATAAACGTTTTAAAAAATAATATTTGTGGAGTACTCTCTTGGTCACAAATTTCATCCAGAAACATATCTTTAACCTAAATATTAACTAGTGCAATTTGTTCTGTGGATTTGTACCACGCACTCTGGCATGTGATAAGGTTTGGGATAAAATTAAAAACAAAAGGACCTAATGAATGAAGCCTCAGCTCCTTTATTAGTACCAATTTATAAACATGAGTGTAAAGCAAAGTCAGCGGTGGAACTGCTCTGTGGTATTAAACAGGGAAAACAAATCAAAAGCTCTCTGAGGATAATACACTCCGTGGACAGAGAAGGGGGAAATGTGAAATAACAAATCCTCATGATAAAAAGACAAAACATTTATCTTGCTTCTCTTTGAATAACTTTGCTGCCTGGTTTTAATGGTTTCCATTACTAACCCAGTGATAGTCTCCTGGAGAAGCACAGTTTAGCACTGTGCTGGAAAAACTTAGGTTGCTTGTGGTCTGTGACCTGACCTGAGTAACTCACGCACTCTTCCAGAATCGCAGACTAAGTGAGCATATGCAGCCCGTCAAGAAAGAGCAGAGAGCGGTGTGTGAGGTGACTCTGTGCTGGTTACAGATGACAGCAATTAGAGTGTAGCAAGGGGAACAGGGTCAGGTCTTCAGCTCTGGGCTCCCCATACATGGGGATGAGGATTCCTTAGAGAACAAAGGACACCTTCCATCTTTCCCTGGGGGCTTGTCTCCCCAAACAATCTGTCCAATCAATCCTGAGCTTCTGGACACAAGAGCCTGAAACTGGCCTTCACTAAGTACTCATGTTAGGAGAACCATCATCAAACCCAGCAGAATGCCAAGCACTTCCCACTTCCTCCCCGACTGCCCTGAGGATCCCCCCTGTTCATACATGGCAGCCAAGGGACCTTTCTTGGGCTTTTCTTTGTTCCTTCCAGAAAGCACACGCTTGCTGTATTGGATTAACCACCTCAGAATGGGTGGTTAATCAATGGCTCTCTGTGAAACTCTTAAACTTGCTGAAAATATTTCTTGTTAAATTCCAAGAAATGCTTTTTGTTGAATGTGGATATTAATGGAGAAGGAGAAGTAATTGACCCACGTGTCCTCAAGGGAGGTAATTGAACAGAGGACATCTGACTCTGCAGGACGGATTCATTCATCAAAGGTGTGATTCACATGCAGAGGTAGAATACTCTGTTTCTGCAGAGGAAGTGCTTCTGAATGGATTAGGAAGGAATCCTGTCCAAAACTTCTCTTCTTTCTTCAGGTCCTGCTGACCAGCTCCAAGCCCCTGTCATCCATGAAGTGCCCCACTCCAGGAATCATGTTCCATTCTGGATGAATTTGGGCACATGGTGGGTAAAATCCCTATTCACGTGCCCTGAGAGCCTTTCCCTGAATCAGACTGCAACAACCTTCCTCTCCATCTCCATGACAACCTTCCTAGGAGATTCAGTTGATGCGCACTTTGTCCTTTGTACTTCCAGTGCCATACATGCATCATGTCATGGACAGCAATCTAGAGCTGGTACCCTTACTGATCTCACATTGACCAGTATCTCAGACTGGGAAATAGTCCCGGGATATGAACCCAGAGAGAGCCATTTCCCCGGGGGACCCATTGCTCCTCTGCCTGATGTCCTTAGACAGATGGTTCTTTCCTTTCTGTTAATCCTTCATGTTTCTGGACATTTCCTTTATATTCATTATGTCACTGGTACTTACTTACATTCAGATACAGCTTTTGTTACTGTCCTCAAATTTTACTTCTCTCTCTAGTGGTCTTCGAAACCAGACATACAAAGAACCACACAACCTTAGCAAGAGTGTTTTCTAACTAAACCAGTGTTCTTCAAATGTACCCCTACCCTATGTCTTAGAAAGTTCAGGAGGTTGTTAGCTCCTCACTTCTGGAGAGCTTCCCTCTGTGACCCGAAGGTGACTGCGGGAAGCCTTGTGCATCTGAATCCTGCAACTGCACCTCTAGTACTGTGAATATCCCTGCACTTACCTTCCAAACCTTTCCATTCTCTGCCCTTAAAGCATGCTCAGTGAGACAGAACTCTGCAGTGGCAACTTGCCCTTAAGCCCCATCATGGGGGCAACTGTCAGCTATGCAGAAAGTGCTCAGAAGAGTCCTCCCTTCTCTAAGGGACATGATGTCACAGGGAGCAGGGGGAGGTATTGGTCCAGACTGTGCTGTGACAGTGCTAACCAACACAGCCAGCAGTAACCAGAGACATTCAGGAGTCCTGGAGTACCCTGTTCTCACATAGCCGGTAAGAGCTGGCAGCCTGCTCACAGAGTGACTAGCCGAAAACAGACTGGGAGCGCACTAGTCCTCAGGAATTATTGGATGGTTCCGATCATTTGCCTTATACTTTGCTATAAATCAGAGGATTTGGGGCTTACTTAAATGTGGCCAAAATAAGAGTGGTGAAGTTAGAAATGCCAAGGTTCCTCCATAAGAAAGGTATTTTATATTTTATGCTCCTGTAATATTGGCGATGTTTCTTAACACATGCTGTACTACTAGAATCATCAGGAGCCACACTAAATCAACTGAAACACACACATGCACACATATGCACACACACAGGTGCACACATACATATTTTAGTTGAGGTGAGATTCACATGCATAAAACTCAATTATGTCTTTCTTTTGTAGACAATATGCTTTTCACAGCAGTTTTAGTTGATATCAAAATTGAGTGGAAAGTACAGATTTCTCAAACATCGCTCCCCGTGGTACCAACATTGCCTCCATAGTGATGCATCTGTCACCCCTGTCACCTGTCTAGACACATCTCTACCCAGGTCTTGGAGAAACTCACTTCTCACTTTGTAGATGTTTATATCCCAGGTTTGTCTAGCATCCTGTCGCACAGAAGCTTCCCGACCTTGACATACATCCCTATGTGCTCTACCAACCAACACTCCTGGTCCTCACCCCCTGGTATTTTTACTGTCCCCACAGTTTTGCCTTTTTAAGAATATTTTATACTGCAATCATACCGTAGGTCATCCTTTCATTAGTTGTGTGTACTTTTTCTTTCCTTAGTTGTGTGCATTTAAATTTCCTGCAAGTTTTTAAAAATTATTTATTTATTTTTATCCATGGTCTGAGCTTTTTCTTTGTAACACTGAGTAGTATCCCACTATCTGAAGGCCTGTGGCTATTTATTCATTAACCTACAGAAGGGGCTGTTCATTGCTTCCAAGATCTTGCAATTCTGAATAAAGGAGCTCTCAGCTCCCAGGTGCAGGCAAATGTTTTGAAGTCATTGGAATAAAAACAAGATTTTATGGCAAAAGGTTTTGATCATTCCAATTGGTGAAGAGGGCATCTCAATAGTTCGATTTCTGTTTTCCTAAAGACCTATAGGAGGGAACATGTCTCTGGGTTATTCACATGATGAATCTGCATAACTGAAATTAAAATAGCCCTGCTGAGATCTGCCTCTCCATTTTCAGCTGAAGGAAGACAAAAGAGAATAATATTAACACATCAAAGGAAAACCTGCTGCTGCCTGCACGGCAGGAGAATTCGCAGCAAGCAGGATCTGGACTCATCCTCGAGTGTCTGTCCACAGATGAGCGGAGATGGTGGCACATGTCCACGATGGAGCACTTTCAGCCACAGAAGGAGTGAAATCCGGCTAGTTATAGGGAAATGGATGGACCCGGAGAATGTCATTAAGTGAAACCAACCAGAGGAAACAGTGTGATTTTCCCTTCTACAGAAGCTCCAATAAAGTCCGTCTGAATCTGGAAGACTGAGGGGGAGGACGACCTTGCTCACTGAGACTGAGAGGAAGACTTGGTGTGTGCTGTCTGCACCATGCTGTAGCAATTACTGGTTTAGCAACTTCTCACATATTTTATAAAGAACAGAAGAGTGGAGATCAAAGTTTCCAAGCATAAGAAAATGACTAAAAGAGAGAGAGAAATAGTATTTACTCTGCATGTTGTATACGTGTGTTGAAATAACACACTGTGACCCAGAGACACGTACTGTTATTACCTGTTAATAAAAACAAATATACTAATAAGTGGAGGTTAAAAAGGCTTCCAAACACAGACAGCATACACTTCACAAACCTTTTCAATGTGGATCTGAAAAGAAATGTAAAAGCAACACTTAAAGCTCATAAGCATGAGGAGAAAACTGCAAAGACGTCTTGGATACACACATGAAAGAAGGAATTGATAAGCTTTACCTTCCAAGCTGAGATATCTCTATTAGGAGATTGAAAGGACAGAGACAGTTTGGGGGAAACACTCAGGAAAGCAGACTTCGTAATGACTGCTAATCCAAAATGAGTGCCTGATTGTAAGTGGCCCAAGGCTGTACAAAACACCTTAAAGGAAAATATCTGTTTTAGGCTGAATGAATCTTTGACATTTAGCTTATTCACAGCATTTTGCCACCTCCAGTTCTGCCTAATTTCAAAATATTTTCATCATCCTTAGTGGAAAACCCTTAGCCTGTGATCAGTTAGTTCCCTTTCCTCAGGGCTCCCTCCAGACCCCGTGAACACAGATCTTCTGTCTTTCTTTTAGACTCACCTAGGTCAGATGTGGTGGCATGCCTGTAATCCCAGAACTTGGGAGGCTGAGGCAGGAAGATGGCCATAATTTCAAGGCCAGTCTGGGCCACACAATGAGTTTGAGGCCAGCCTGGGAGACATGGCCAGCCCTGTCTCAAACCCCCCACCCAAAAAAAAAAAAAAAATAAGAGAAAAAAAGATGCTATCATGGCTCTTAACAAAAAGAAATCTCACCTACTTGCGATATTTCAAATTGATTGGATTATAAAATATACTTCCTTTTGAGTATGGCTTCTCTGTTTTTTTTTTTTTTTTTATTTAAGGAGAAAAAGAAAAAAATAGAAATAGGGTACAAGTTATACAGAATTTCAAGAAACATAAACTGTAGGAAATCACTAGTTAATAGATTACATATTGTTATCTTAGAAATAGTTTTTCAAGTTACAAAATTAAAGCATATAAAGTGGACTTTCAAACAGTGAGACTGGAGACAGTTTTGTTCATTGACCCAACAAAACTCAGTAATATGGTTATCTATCTTATACACTTAAATATATATGTAGTTATATTCTTTAGAGCACTTTCTTTTCCTTTCTTTTGTACAAGGGCAATTACACATTTTGGGTTTTATCACTCCCACAGTTCTTATTACTTTTTTTTGGAGAGAGTAAAACCAAATGTGACATAACAGAACAGAGTTAGTCAGATCAAAAGGATGGACATAATAGATAATGTAAAAACAAAATACTAGGTGATCAACAATGGTTACCATACTGCCTCTCGCTATCTTAAAAAGAATTGCCTATATCATCAGTTATAATAAAATTGAACAAAACAGTAAAGAGTAAAACCAAAACATTGGAGACATTACAGGACTTTAAAAGAAGATAATAGTCAACTGGAATGGGCGTCATAATGAATCTTATTGTCTTCACAGTTTCGAACTTGGTATTATCAAGCAAAGCAGAATAGAGGAAAGTCAGTCAAAGCAAGATGGTGAGGGCTATACAGGGTGTGGCTTCTTTAACTTAACATAATCTTTAGGAGGTTAATGCTCGTGATGTGTTGATACTTTATTTGCTTTGTGAATAATATTGCACTCAATGTGAATATTATTTATAACTTTATCCAATCACAAATCTTTCCAAAGCTTTCTCTAGAGACAGAGCTAAGGAGGGCCACACGAACAACCCAGGGCAAGGCTTTCATGGGGCATTATGTTCCCCCAAGCAAGAGCAGGAGAGTTTCTAAACAATTGTAGCTGATTCACACTATTCAGTGGAGTTCACTTCACCCAAGAAATCATCACTTCAGTGACAAGTAGATAAATTTCTTCATGAAAACTCCTTTTAGCCTGGCTTTATGCAAATTAGAAATTTGTAGACTGATGCAGATACTAATAGTGGAAATTCTTTCTTAGATCCCTAGTGAGTATTTATTTTTATTTGACCTCTGAATTATTATTAATAATAGATTATCTCCCTGACTTTAACATTAAAGCTAAGTTGGTGAGCCCAGTATTACATTGGCTATGTCAAATATTTTATGTAACTTATAAGATGTAGCACCCAGCACTGGTGAGGTGGGTAGAGAGCCGTGCCTTGGTATAGTTGAGAGTAAAGGCTCCCAAACTTAGCTTGCTCTAATTTATATGAAGAGAAAATAGAACTAAGAATTTTGAATGCTTGTTCAGTTGGATTTTAATTTTCTTGTTGCTACAAGCTCAGTGTGGTACTGTGGGACTCACTAAGCTCTCATAACAATAAGTCACTCGGAGAATATTTCTAAAATGCTTACCATCATGAATCCACACACCTGCAAGGGAAAGAAATAAAATCTGGAATAAAAGATATGAGTTTATTTCACTTTTTAACTATGTAGTATCTTTGCTAGACATATAAATTTGTAGATTTATATTTTCTGGCTGAATATTTGACTTTTCCTGTGAAACTGTTCAAGCAGACTGTGTATGAAATTACAGAGAAACACTGATGGAGCAGAGTAGGTGTTCGGAAAGTTAACACTATCAAAAGTTTTGGGTTGCTCGAAGAGGATAGGACAGAGTATCTGTTTGTAAATGACTGACAGCCATTCCTTGCAGCTGGAAGAGGGGAGAAGTTCAAGGTCAAGGCTGAGAGATTCATCAGCAGATTTGGGGTATGGCAGCTGACAATTTTCAGGTTCATAGATACTCACCATTTTTTTCTGTAGGGCTCTTGGGGCAAAGGAGTTCTCCGAGACCTTTATACAGACACTAATTCAACTCATGGAGACTTCAATCTCATGACTTCATCACCTTTCAATGGTCCACTTACAAATACCTTTGCATCATTGAATGTGTGTAACATATGAATTTAGAAGTACACAAATATTTCCTGTATAGCACTTCATCATAGCAGATTTATGCTTAATTAAGACAAAATAAATCACAGAGTCTGTCTTTCTCATAAAGCACTTATTACACTGGGATCCTTCTGTCCATTTAATTAACAGTCCACTGAAGAGAATAAATTGACCTATGTTACTTGCCCCTACATTGTCTTTCTTCTATTTTTGAAATAACATCTGTACTGAGTTTGTCCTGAATTTTACTTTCATGTTTACTTAAAATACAGAAAACTGTTCTCCT